TCGAACTGGGCCTAAGATTAGAGAACTGAGCGACCAAGTCTACTAGCAAAGAACACACTAGCCAAACTGCCAGGTTGTCATATCTGAGAAAAAGAATATATACTTCGAAAGTATAAACCAAGAAAAGAGCATCCTTCAGACACCTAAAGCCTGAGCAGACTGACCCATTCAGATTGCTGGCTGGAAGTAAGAAATGGATTGATAAAAAATCTAGATAAGAAGATGGTTTGAATATAGATACTAGGGTTATTGTAAACTATATAAAGGCAGGAGTATGTAATAGATAACTAATTAAAAAGGTTATAGTTTGAAATATAAATCAGATTATAGCAGCACTCCAAAAAGTTGGCTTGAAATACAAACTTAGTGATAGTAGCACAACAGGTACTAGTTAGGAAAAAGTTATTGAACATGCAGGTAAAAATATGTGTGAAACATAAACTACTCTGTTAGGTTTATCTCATAAATAGACTAGCTCAATATAGAGTTTAGTAAGTTCTAAAGTAGGTGTGAAATTTACAGATATCACAAAATCTACTTCTGAATAGTGAGTTATGCCTTGGTTAAGTAGAAGTAATCAATAGTTGTAACTAGAGTGTTTAAATAGATACTCCTGTAATTGGTGTAGGTATAGCAGATAGTATAGAACCTTCGGGCAAACTATTTAAATTAGGTACCAAAAGTGCATGTGTGGCTTGATGTATCCTTGTTGTAATTGTATAACATTATTTCTACTTAATAAAGAGTCCCTGGCCAATCACTTTAATATTTAAAATAATAATAATAATAAATTATATTTAGTTAAATAAATTTAGTATTTTGTGAATTATTGCAAATAAATCAAAAATTACTGAATTATTATTTAAATTTATTTCTATATAATGTATTTTTATTAAATTATTTCAAAATATTTCAATTTAATTCTATTATATTCGAATTAATCAAAATTATAGATGCCACTGAAATTGATTTTCAAAAAAGACCTATTTCATCTCTATTAGAGCAAATTAAAATTTTTTATAAGAAAAAGCAAATAAAATTTATATATTTATACTCCTTATAATTTTATCTATTCAAAAAAAGTATCAAAAAATTTTATCTTTTAAATAAAATAGGTTAAAAACAATTTTGTCTTCAAATTTTAATTTCGGGTTTTAGAACCTGAAATAATTTCATCGGCATGTATAATCAAAATAGTACAATTTTACCATTTTCATATAATTAATAATATAAAAGTTTTGTTATTCATATCATTACTTATATCTGTTTATTGCACATGATTGCAATTTATTTTGAATTAATGTGAAATAAATTTTATAATATTGCATAATTTATTATATATGTATTTTATAATATTCCATAATTGATAATTGCATAAGATTTCGCATCATTTCAAAATTCTTGTACAAGTTTTTGGTCTATAATAACTTATATAAGATTATGTTTATATATTTTGCTAATGTAGTAAAATTTTTAATAAGTTAAATATTTAAAAAAATAGACTTGTATATATTGTAAGTTTTTTAGATTGATCCAAATTTTCTTAGATTATACAAAATCATTAATTTTGATTGGTTCATATATAATTATCATATGATTTTTGCAATACTTAATCTTTAAATTAATATATTTTGCCAAATATCTAACTAATCTTGATGATTTTACTATTATTAGAATCAGAAAATTGTACTCTACAACTTTTATTAAAATTTATAAATAGTTTACTTAATAATATTTTCTTTAATTTTAAAAAGTAAAAAATTTTACCATTAGTTTTATATATAAATCGCAAATTGTATTCTCTACCCTTAAATTTCTATTCTTAGTTCTAAACTTAAAAAACAAACCTTTTTTATATAATAAGTTTTTATAAAATTTAATAATAATAAAAGCAAATAAATTGTTTAAAATATAAAATTTTTTTAATAGCTTTTTTAAACTGTTGTGCTAAAAACTAATTATACAATTTTGAAATAATAATATTTAATATTTGAATTACTATATTTAACCAGAGAAAATTACCTTAGTATTTTTAGGATTAGGGTGCAGCTTTAAAATATATAAGAGTTTTTTATCTAATATAATATATATTTGATATAATGTTTTGAATTAGTTCTCAAAAGGTTTTCAGAAGTCCTGAGCATTTTTGCTTAAGATACCCGATCCCGTTTACTTAGTACACTTTTGAGATATAGCACCTCCAACCACCCCAAGGAAAATTACCCCGGTTAAGATTAGCAATACTCTTAATATTTTACTAATATAATTAATTTTGCTAATTTTTGATAATAAATAAACATTTTATATTTATTCTTTTTTAGCTCCAATTCTATTAATATAACAACTTTTAACTACTATTACTTAATAATATTTTCCATCTTTACTAATTTCAGCAACGTATAATAAACATTTTATAAAAAAATTTTTGCTATTTATTAGAGCTGAATTTTATTTTAGATTATAATTTATTAATACCAAAATATCAAGAGAAACATTTTGAGTTTATCGTCAATTTAACTTTTTTTTTTTTTTTTGTATTACACTTAATCCTGAAATTCAGTTGGTTAGTGAAATTTTCTAAAGCGGTAATACTTTATACATAGACCGCCAAACCATGCGCATGCGTAAATGCGCATGATGCCCATCCTAATCAGAAGAAATTTGAAGTTGCTATATAAGTTCAAGCTTTAGCGAATAGGTGATCTGAAAGATATTAGATATATAATGGTAAGTATTCATGAATTAAAGCAAATAAAATGAATTAGTAGTAATAAATAAGCATTCATGAATTAAAGTGAATATGAATTAGGTAATGATAAATAAGTATTTGTGAAGTGTTTATGAACATGATAAGCTATTTTTAATTTTACCGATTAATCCAAACTAAACCTAGTAACCAAATCCAAACTAAACCTAGTAACCAAATCCAAACTAAATCTAGTAACCAAATCCTAACTAAACCTAGTAACCAAATCCAAACTAAGCCTAGTAACTTAATTGCTGTTGTGAAATATACCAGGTAATTGACTCAATCAGAAGTAACTGGAAGTCATTGGATATCATTAAATTTCCATTCCAGTGATAAAAATCTTTACTGGAGCGGTCCAGTGACATTCGACCACTGGAAGCTATTATTCTTCCAATTCCATCTAGTTAAGTCCAGTCCCAGTAATTCTCATTGGATGTTACGTAATTCCCGTAAACAACATTGCGCATGCATGAATGCCCATCTCTATGATAAAGATCCGAATAGGGTTCTTTGTGTGCATTTTGATACCATATTGAGATCATCATTGCTATAATAAATATAAATAAAATGTTACGTGTTAGTTAGGCATCGAATAGAATCAATACCTTTCAAAAATTTTTCTAGTTCATAATTTTATCTGATGTATTAATGGTAAATGCGTAACATTAGTATAGGTTTCCTAAATTGGTAGTCAGAGCTATGTATTAATCACTAGATTTAGTTCTTTATTAATTAGTATTGTAATTACCTTAATATGACGACTGTTAGAGGGCAATGTCATTGAGAACGATCATACGATGTCTCTTGCACATGTATATAAGTGTTAGTTCCCTCTGATGTTAGAGTAAAAGTTGTATTATACCCTTTGAACTCTTCTCCTAATAAAGAGAATTCTCATAAAATCGTCCTTATAGATAAATTGTCTATCTAAATATTCTTTCATGATGCTCTCCCAACTAAGTTAACTGAATATAACTCTTGTACTATGTATATTCAAATACAAGATCTTAGGCCATACAAACTTAATAAATCGGTTCTCATAACCCGGCCGGGTCAAAATTTCCAAAACTCTAAAAAAAAATTTCAAGTATACTTACTATCCGGGTGAGTTTTTTAAAAAAAATCTAAAAAAATTTTATATGTTTTTTATATATAAAATTTTTTGAAAATAAAATTAAAAGCCGGGTTGCCGGGTCACTTTTAAAAATTTTATGTTATGAGAACCGATTTATTAAGTTTGTATGGCCTTATCATGGTATTCGCCTAGCCGTTTGCGTTCACCTTCTTTCGAGAAGTTACGTTGTCTTTTCCTCATGTCACTTTCTAGTTTAGTATCAATAAATTATACAGTTTTTACAAAAATACTTATGTTTTAATCCATGATATATTTTCAACGTCGTGAAAATTGATGCCAACAGTAAATTTATGGTACTGTAATTCGCCCGTGCTACTATCGCGTAAAAGACTATGCCTGCGAAGCATTTAAGAACCCTAAGTATAAAACCAATTACATGTTATTTGATAACAGTATAATTATCTTGAAACGGTCTATCACAAAAACCCACATTTGCATATAGAAGTTCTGCCACCTAAAAAGTTCATAATTAGTTTGATGTTTATAATTACCATATGGTGGCTTCATAAAAGCCGTCATTAATGCTTCAGGCAAATCCGAAATGTTTCGTCAAAGGGCGAAATGATTTCACGCTGGCGATTACTTGACTCAAAAAATGTGGATTACCGTAGATTTTGCAGGTTGTGCCGAGATATTTTCTCCAATGAAATTGTTGGCAAAATACAGTCATACCTGAGTTATATCACCACTTTTTTCCAGAGCGTTTTTTGGAGTTATAACTAGGGTGGAGATATAACTCAATATACAAACCATATAAAAAAAGAAAGGTATGGCTGTATTTCGGATTATATTGATCTTGTCGTTTATTTTTGGCGACAGATTCTTATGGTTGGTTTCAATGATTTTCAAAATTCTTCTGTTACTCTTAACCTAATGTATAATAGAAATTAAAAAAAAATTAATGACTGTAATCATCATGTAATTTTTTTTCAGGATATAGCAAATGCAAGTTCCTAATAAGGAAAGCACGTAACCATTCTTCTTCCAGAATCAATAGACCTTATCAGTGAAGCTTCTCTCGGCCATATATCCTGCGGCGCCAGAATCATTACACCTCAACCAAATAAGCTCTGATAAACAGTAACATGGAATAACCAGCAATCACGCATACGGAATATGGTGACCTCACAAAGAAAAGGATATTCAATTCAGTGTGACGCTGGAACAAACCACGCAGCATTAGATGGCTTTAATGTAAATCAAACTGAAAGCACTTTCCAATATTGTTTCTTAAATGGGATCTTTGCTACCTTTCGAGACTATATAAATCATAATCCCTAAGAGTTATTTTTGTTAACAAAATCCCAGATGATAACGCTCTTTCACCGTATCGAAACAAATTGGTTCAAGTGCCTCGCATAAGAAAACCTAAAGGAAAGAGACTTGCCTACTAGAAAAGATACATACCCTTACTGCAAGTTTACTTTTCGAAATATTTCATATATTTCATTTAAGGATATTAACTGCTTGGTCTGGTTCAGTCTGATCTGGTTATTATATTCTATTTTCTTAAGGGTTATTGTAAACTTCTGGTTCGTATGTTCTTTATGAGTTGTAACTGGGGGTGTTCTGCATATAAAAATTCGGTTTATCCATATTATATCTCGAAGAATAACATCTATATACTTTTGAAGAATATCTAGCTGGTGTAAAATATTGATGGGCAAAGTTGAACGAGAAATGTATAGCCGGTATATCTCTAGTCTTTGTAAATATCGGGATACAAGTCAGTAGACTTGTCTGGCGAATATTTTTTGTTTTGATTAGCTATTAAATACAAACTCTTAAAAAGGAAATGGCCAATCAGAGAGCACAAAATTTTGATTATTCCGATATAGAGTCACGTGTGACTACACAGTAAAATAACAGGACCCGAATAATATATTAAAGAGGTTATCCAAATTTCAAATATAACCTATCTAAAATTTAATTTTAAATATAACAATTTGGCTTTTCAAATATAACATTTTAGTAAAAAAGCAACTTTTTTATCCAAAATTTCAATATAATCTCTATATATATGTATTATTCGGGGTCCTAAAATCAGTGTTGAAAATTCATTTACATGTATTGTTAGGGTGTCTAATATACAAACATAGTGCAAACTACATAGTGAAGAATTTTTTTTCCAGTGATTTTCCGACTTACAATTAGATCCGATTTCACTATTTCCTATTAAATTATTATAAAAAAGTGATATCGCACAGATTTTTATTCCTCTTGAAGTATTTAATATTTTCAAATTCTGTAAACTGTTTATGCTTTATGAAACACGTATTCAAAAAGCAGCAACGTTACATTTTACATATTATATATAAAAAACAACATTGCTAAATCACACCACTGGTGTTCAACACCACAATAATGTTTATTATAAGCTGCAGTGTAACATAAAGATCAGGTGTAACGTAGGTTTTTAAAAAAATAGTATAACTCAAAATTTTATTTATGAACCCACTTTTTAAGCTCTAATAAAAAAAATTCCTTGCAAAATTTTGGTATAAACTAAGCTCCCGCCCCATCCTAGCCTTTAACCCTAACCCTAATCTTAATCAAAATTTAATTTTTGTTTTGATAAAAATTATTTTGATTTATACGTTATACTGCAGTTTATTATTGTAGTGTTAAACACCATAGGTGCAATATATAATTTTTGTTTTTTTATTATAATAATTATTCTATTTAATTAGCTAAACTATTTATTATTAATTGAAAATTAAACTTTGAACCTATTAATTTAGATATTTAAAAATATTTTTAATTAGCCAAACTATTTTTTTATTAAAAAAAAGTACTTAAAATTAACTTAATTAATTTATTAACTAAAAGTGTTTTCAAATACTTTTCTTAATAAACTTAACAAAGAATCTATTGGTCTATTAATTCAAATTGGCTAATTAGATTTTTTATTAATTTATTAAAAAAAATATTTAAAAATATTTTAAATAAGCACAAATAAATAAATTAATAAGAAATAACAAAATTTTTTTTTTTTAATCCAAGCAGTTATACTATATTTTATTAATATGATAATAGTTATGTATTTGTAAATTAAAATATAACTTATCTGGTTATCATAGACACCTATATACAACTTGCAAAAGTAGATTTTATTTTAATGTTTGATTATTTCTTATAGTTTTTTCAAAAATATCATTAACTTGGTTCTATTAGCTTATTATAACTATCTCTTTTTTAAAAAATTTTCTTATCTAAATCTTGGCAAAAAGACTATTATATTGTTATATTAGTATTATATTATTATTTTAAAATTTCTATTACTTATCTATGTGTAACTATTAAGTGTAGTACAAATATTATTTAACCAATAGAATTTTTAGTATTAGTTTTATTAGTATAGTTTTTATAGTTTTTTATTCTAACCAATAGTTGACGAGTAATAAAGTCTCGTTGGCTAGTCTCTTTGGCTAGTCTCTTTGGCTAGTCTCATTGGTTAGTCTCTTTAATTAGTCTCATTAGCTAGTATTTTTGACAAGTCTCTTTGACTAGTATCTTTGACAAGTCTCTTTGACAAGTCTTTTTGACAAGTCTCTTTGACAAGTCTCTTTAGCAAGTCTCTTTGACAAGTCTCTTTGACAAGTCTCTTTGGCAAGTTTCTTTAACAAGTCTCTTTGACACAATAGTACAATAACACAAACTATAATTAGTAATT